AGCCTGGAGGAGGCCACAGCTGTTAGCCTGGGAAATCTAGTAAAATAGAGCCTGAACTTAAAAAAAGTAGGCTTCCTTTCAGAGATGTCGTCCCCCAGTTTCGCTAACATGCCTCTTCACAGAATAGCCCAGCAGCCTCCATGCCACCCACACGAATGTGGCTTGGCAGGCAGCCTCGAATTAGGACAAAACTCTCAGACTCCGGGGCCTTATGACAAGGGAAAGCTGAGCACAGCGGGGACTGTGCCGTGTGTCTGTGGGGATGTTCGCTGAACGACTGAAGCTCTGGGGAGGGTGTGAGTGGATTCGTCACAAGAGAACCTCCTCCCAGCCATCGGCTTCACCGCAAAGAACCACAGCTACCCGAGCAGCCCACCACCTTCCTCTACAGACAGAAACTTAGGGACACCTGGGTGGCTCAGTGGGTAAGCATCTGCCTTCAGCTCAGGTCATGACCCCAGCCTCCTGGGATGCTGAGCATTGGGCTCCTTGCTCAGCAGGGAGCCTGCTTCCCCCTCTGCTTGTCTTTCCCTATGCTTGTGTTCTCTGTCTCTCTCTGACAAACAAATAAAATCTTAAAAAAAGAAACTTAGCGGTGGTTCCTTGGGCCAGCGTTTTGTCCCGTGCTCTGGGAGGGAGTGACAATGTCAGGAACACTGATGTCCCTGTAGGGACAGGAGCCAAGGCGGGGCAGTGGAGGCTGGAGTGGGAGGATGGGAATGTAAGGGGAATATAAATGCAGCCGCCCTAGTCCCACGAGCATGGGATTCATCCAGCCATAGGCACCTGGCTTGGCTCTGCCACAGACAGAAGCATTTATATTTCTGCCACTGGGGAGTTTTGGGGAGTCTTTGGAAGACAGTGAGAATTCACTGCCAGAACTCAAACCCCTGCTTTCCAATTCTCTGCTCCCTGCTCTCCCCACGATGGCCACCTGCCTGGTGCGAGCTCTTGAGGATGGCAAAGAGCTTCTTCACCACCTCGTTTAGATCTTATCGTTCAATAACATATCGCCAGGAGATTTTACAGCAGCTTCTATTTCTAGAGCACTTAACAATCCGTGCAGCACTTCCACACAGACTCTCAGCCCTCTGGCAGGCGCCCTGCAAAGCTGGCCGCCTAGGGAAGTTTCCTGGCATCCCACACCTCTGGTTTTGCACGACAGAATATTGATTTAGAGTGTGGATGGTGTCTCATGCCCCACAGCGACGACAGAAGGTGGGGAGGGCTTTTGGTTGTTGTTTTTTTTTTTTTTTTGTATTTACACAGCTGTCTGACACTTCCAAAGCCAGCCCCAATTGTATTTTTTAAAATGGAAGCTATTCCCTAGGGGGTGGGAGCCAGTTTTCTCACTTAGCACTATTCCAGAATTAATTCCTATTTGGGCACTGAACTATGTATCAGAGATGCCAAGGAACAAGAACTCCAAGAGGCCGTATTCGGTCGGCTTCTGAGCCTTGAAGAGGAATTTAAACTTCAGTTCTCTGCGAGCTCGGCGGAACACTTGAGGCTGTCATTTGCAAACCACTGAATGCAGGAACTGTGTGTGGAAAGCCCGCACACACCATCCTCATGGATTATGGATGGTTTCGCAGACTCAGCAGAACGTTTGGATCCATAGACGGCTTGATCAGAATCAGTCATGTACCGGCCTGCACCAGACAGATGATTCCTACTGGATGGAAATTTCCCACAGGAAGGCCAGACTGGAAAGCCCTCACTGGTTCCTGCTGCTTTAACAGCAGCTCACAAGATCCCAGGTTTTAAAACTGGAAGGGATCTGAAAGGCCACTGAGTACCTCTTCTTGACTTCGGGATGATGAAACTTAGAGAGAAGTGAAAGGAGGAACCCAAGAGACATCATCTAAGAACAATGCTCTTCCCTCTGTGCCATACTCCTTGTTCCAGAAAACACATAAGCCCCATGTCATTTTGCAGATCAAAGAAAATGCCATAACTTGGGGTCATGCTCGTGGTCTGCCCGGCTTCCAGTGTGAACACGAGACCTTTCTTTGCTATCACCAGCAGCTTTTGAATGAATTGCCTTGTGATGCCTTATGTCAAAGGTAGTGTCACAAATGAGACCAAAACATCTATAAACAGGGCTTCATAGCACAGCCTGTCTGTGGCAGGAAACCAAAGTCATGCTACACCATTCACCTCTGTATCAGATGGGCGGCATCAAAAAAATCTGTATTAAATACTTTTGTCCATCTGCCCAATGGTTCATCAGATGGGAATGGAGGACATTAAGTGCCTAGACAGTTGTTTTCTTGGTGAAACATGGCAAAACCTAGGGTAGGAATGCCCCAAACAGATCTTAAAACAAAAACACTTTCCTGGCATGTTCAAGGTGGGTTTCCACTACTCACGCACGATTGTTTTTGTGGGTTTTTTTGTTTGTTTTTGTTTTTGTTTTTTTAATTCACCATGGAAAACCTCCCCTATCCTAAAAACAGACTCTGGGAAATCCTGGCATTAAGCAGAACATTTCCTCTGCTCATGAATCCATCACGGCTAATTATTGCCTCCTTGCCTTCCCATTTCCTACCCTCTGTCTGGAATATCTTCCCCCACCCCTCCCATCTCTCAAGATTCAGCTTAAGTGGGCCCCTTCTCTGGGAAAACATTTTTTTTTAAACAATTTTATTTTATTTATTTTAAAGATTTTATTTATTTATTTGAGAGACAGAGATCACAAGTAGGCAGAGAGACAGGCAGAGAGAGAGAGAGGGGGAAGCAGGCTCCCCGCTGAGCAGAGAGCCCGATGCGGGACTCGATCCCAGGACCTGAGACCATGACCTGAGCCAAAGGCAGAGGCCTAACCCACTGAGCCATCCAGGCGCCTCTGGGAAAACTTTTTTGACACTGTTCCTTTTTACCACGACTCCACGCTGAGTTAGTGTCCTCTTTCTGTACCAACCCCCAGCCTTGCCCAAACCCAAAGCTTCCTCTCTCACTAAGCTCATCGCACCCAGTTGTAGCTGTAGGATTACCTACCTGTCTTTCCCACCATAAAAAGCACACTCCATAGGGGTAAAGAGCATTTTTCATTTCAGCATTCTCTTTCACTGGAATTGTTGCCAGGGACAGAGTAGGTTTTGATAAATGTCAGTAGAATTAATGAAATTTGAATTCTGCCTGCCTTTCAACCTCCCCCTCCATCTGGCCTCTGGGAACAGATCCTTGATATGACCAACTTCTCCTCTTCAAGCTGCCTCCTACCCTACTCATAAACGTCAATGCCTCCAACTCAAACACCATCAAGAACACCTCTGTAGTTGAACGTGGGGTGTATTGCTCAGTGCAACAGAGAATGCATATGGTGGAACATCTCTGTTAGGTGTTGGGAAGGACTTGTAGATTTGGCTTGTGTTGGATGATTTGGATAAGGGAAGTGGGGCATTGCTCTGGATTGGAGGTTGTCAGGAAATGGGGGTGATTCTATGAAGGGTATAAGTAAATCTTATCCACAAGGTGGGAGGAATGAAGCAAAGGGAAAGCTAGAGCTGTGATTGGCAAAGAAGCTCCTTCCATATTAGCCAAACTAATAGGGCAATGTCTGGTTATTTTTGTGGTTTGGACAATATTCTTACTTCTGCCTGTGTTCAGACACGAGTGATCATGTTTTTGTCTTGATTGATCATGGTCACAGAGTGGCCTTGTCTGGTATTGTTTTGTGCAATTGTTTATTTCGACAGAACACCAAGGTCTAGCTGATCTATCAGGCCAGATCCCAGATGCCAGGGGCTGCTTCTCTCTTTCTCATAACTTATACCCATTCCTAACTTTACCAAGTTGTTCCCCTACCTAGAATGCTCTTCTCCCTACTCTGGCCAAACCCCACTTACATTCAAATTGAACTCCACAAAATCCCACCTTCCCTGTGAGGCTTCCCAAAATACTTCTTTCTCCATCAGGTGATCGTTTCTGAATGCCTCTAGAAGTCTTGGCCGGCATGCCACAATTTAGTATACAACCACCTTCTCTCTGGAATGGTTTCACTTGTTTCAAATGTATTGTTCTTCTCTGCTTAGTGGGGGCAGGGTTATTTCTTACAATTTGGCATACCCCCCTCCAACTGAGAAACTTGCTGAAGTGGAACAAATGGCTGGTCTGAGTAAAGCGGGGTGAGTCTGCTTCTGGGACACAGCTCTGAAAACAGCTACGAGCCAGCAGGAGAAGCCACCAGCTTGCCTTTCCCCCTAACACTCTGACCTTATCTTTCCATCTTCCCATCAGGAAACCATGTTCGGATTTTTCTTTCGGAGCATTCATTTCTTCCCAAGGGTTATTTTTGGAAATGTCTTCTGTCCCTACCTGTCCGTGAGTGCAGGACCTTCTGTTAATGCATTGCTGTCTCCTCTCGCCCTTCCATAGCGCCCGGACGGAGTTTAGCAAGAAGGAAAGGCCCCGCAGTCCTCCACTAACCACAGCTCCTGTGTGGCTCGTCGCAGAAAGTCAGATACGTCCGAACTGTCTCCTCCGGGGCCGGGCAGAGAGTCACCTAGGAGAGTCAATGCCTTGGCCTCTGGCTTAAATCAGGGCACAAGACCTCTAAGCCCGGTTAGCCTGCACGTCATCCCGTTCATTACTCCCTACGCCGACACTCCGCAGCTCTGGGGAAACCCTAGTTAGGAGCTGCAAGTTTCAACCACTCTGCACAGAGAAGCTGAGATTCGGGGCAGCTGGGGAAACAGAAGGACTAGACCCCTATGGCGAAGCCGGCTGGCGGGAAGAGGTTTGATTTCCATCGCGGGGGGGCGGGTAGTTTTCTACAAAGCTTTCTATCGCCAGAAACAGCCAATCCTAAAGCCCGAGAGGGCCTGAACACCAATTAAAAGTTAGAGGAGGCGGAGCCGAAGCCTTGATTGGTACTTGGTCTCCTGGGGAACCGGCGGAAGCCGGGCAGAGCCGATTCTGAAGGGGCTTCAAGTTGGGTGGCCTCGCGGTGGCGGCCATCTTTATTTCTGGCAGATCAGCTGACGGGCACAATTTGGCCCAGCACGTAGGGTCTATCCCGTTTCCCTAGGGAGCCCCCGAGCTCCTCCCCTCTCGTGCCCCACTATTCGCGGGAGGGGCGGGGCGTCTCCGAGGAGGGCGGGGCCGGAGCTAGAAGCCAGATTGAAAGCGGTGAGGCTGTTTGGCGGGAAGTTGGCTTATTTCCCTGGTCCCCGCCTTGTTTCTCCCCAGGGGCTTCACAATCTTCCCTCCACGATCTCGGCATAGGGCACAGTACCCTTTCGCACGGAGGACGCGATGGCTCCTAGGAAACGCCCAGAAACCCAGAAGACCCCCGAGGTGGCTGTGCGCCCCAAGAGCAAGAGGAGCAGAAGCCCCCGGGAGCTGGAGCCCGAGGCCAAGAAGCTCTGTGTGAAGGGCCCTGGTACTGCCTGCGCCTGCTGCTTTAATAATTCCGCCTTTTGGGGTTCTCACGCAGGAGGCTGGAGTGGGGGATGGGTGCTACTGGTTTCTCCAGGCTGTCCCAAGTTTTGGATGCCTCGGGCTGTGCATTTTTCTGCAGGTCCTTCCTTTGACATCAGGGCTTGGGCTTAACCCCCCTCAGGTGACGGGGAGAGGCAGATGAGCTCCATTACATAAGACACAACGGACCTTCCAATTCTTGTTTGTCCCAGGATTTTTACACACGAGGACTGCTTAAAATAACCCTACCTTGCCTGGTGGTGTGTGTGCTGCATTTCTATAGTCATGGTTGCTAGCTGTGTGTCCTTGGTTTCCTCTGTAAGAACCCTCAATTTCCTTCCTTAGAAAACTCAGTCTCTGAGGTTTATTGGGGCTTGAACCTGGGGCGATAAGGAGTGTGGGAGAACACAAAAGACTGGCGCAGGGGGTTGTTGCTGAAGTGCTTTTTGTCCATAAAAAGAAGGAATGGGTTGTCAAGAGACCAGATTCAGAGACCAGGTCCTCAAATACATCTTTATCCCTATTCTAAGTGGATCTACCTCTCCAAAAGCAGCTTAGTTAATTTCCAGCCACCAGACCCTCTAGATCCGCTGGTTTCCAAAAGAGCAGATTGGACTTGGGGCCAACAACTCGTCACCTCTACATTATTTTAATGCAGGATTTAAAGATACTTCTTTCCTCAGTCACTTCTACTGTGCTATCCTAAAACCCTTTTATTATGCATCATGTGTGATTTAAAAATTGTCACCCAACCCTAGCATGAGTTTCCCAGCCCACTGGGAAGAGTTCTGCACAAACTTTATTCCTGTGTGTCTTTTCGGCTCCCTGCTCAGAAACCCTGCAAAGGGTCTGGTTTCCTATGATTTCCTATTTAGTTTCACTTCAAAATTACTATTTCAGAGAGTGGGGCAAGGGGCTGAATCCTTACTTTATTTCTTGTGCTGAATGAGAGTGAGCAGACCATGGAAAGATCTCAGGAGGTGATGGGAGAGACTGGCTATGCAGCATGAAAAAACAAGGCTTGCTTTCTGAGATTTCAGCAGGAAACTCTTGTGTGCGTGAGAAGAGAGAGGAAAATATGTGTCTGTTCTGCTTGGCAGGTTCTAGCAGAAGATTTGACTCAGGCTGCCGCCTTTGGGCGGGGTTGGCTAGCCTGCAGGTCCCGCCACCAAGCAGCATCGTCAGGGCCCTCCACCACCATAAGCTAGGCAACGCCGTCTGGCCATCACTGCAGCAGGTGAGGTGTTTCCTGGCTGAATTGCTCCAGGGGTTGCCTGGTACCTTTTCATTATGGGGATGTTCTCAGGTTAGATACTGGGTTGGTTCAGCCGGTTGTCAGAATGGTCAGATCACCTCTATGTTGGGGACTGACCTACTAAGCATTCAGCCAGGTAGAAAGTCTTATGCCGTAAAGGTCTCATCTGGAATGCACTTTGCCCCCTTGCTTTCCAAGATGAGTTCATGCATGTTGCCTGCACAGAGCCAGGCAGTTAGTTTTTCTTTGATGGCAGGACTTGGCCCTAGAGCTCATCTATGGAGGAGGCAGAGATTGGCAATTTACCCAGGACTTGGGTTTTAATTCAACTTAATTCTTTTTTTTTTTTTTTTTCTTCCTCTATGTCAGGGTCTCCAGCAGGCCTTTCTGCACTCTCTGGCTTCTTACCGGATATTCCAAAAGGCTGCCCCCTTTGACAGGAGGGCCACATCCTTGGCATGGCACCCAACTCACCCCAGCACCCTGGCTGTGGGTTCCAAAGGGGGAGATATCATGCTCTGGAACTTTGGCATAAAGGACAAACCTACCTTCATTAAAGGGGTGAGCAGTTCCCTGTACCAGTCAGTAGTGCTGAAGAAGTATTTGTGGAAGGAATGAAAAGTTATCAGGGAACGAGATGATTGGGATCAGAAGGAACTGGGTATTTTCAAACGAGTAAATGGTAATGCTATTCAGATCTGCCTTGAGTGCCAGCCCTTAAAACATTAGAAGGTATAAAATATTGATCACCCTCTTGTAAGTTATCACACAGAACAGAATCTGAGCCCTTCTTAACTCTTGGCCTCGTCTCCTACTACTGTCTTTCCCCACTTCCTAGGCTTTGAGCCACACTAGCTATTTCTATTCCTAAAATGGGGTCTTTGCACTTGCTGTTCTCTTTGACGGGGGGTGTTCTTTCTCATGCTTTTCTCATGGCTGCTCCCCCTTACCACTCAGGTCTTGGCTTCATGTACTTCTTCAAACAGCTGTCACTGACCACTCTGTCTAAAGGAGCCTCTGCTTCACTCATTCACTCCCTCTCTCCTTACCCTGCCTCACTCTCCCCACCCCCTGAACAATGTTTATCAGTACCCGAAATGTTTTACTTATTTGTATGTCTCTGCCCATACAAATGTCTTAGGAAAGTAAGTTCCACATTAAGAGGGACCTTGCCTGTCTGGTTCACCACCATATGCCTAGTGCCCAGAACAAGGTTTGGCCTCGAGTCGCGGCTTTATATTTGTTTTTTGTTTTGTTTTGTTTTTAAGATTTTATTTATTTATTTGACAGAGAGAGAGATCACAAGCAGGCAGAGAGGCAGGCAGAGAGAGAGGGGGGAAGCAGGCTCCCTGCTGAGCAGAGAACCCAATCCGGGGCTCAATCCCAGGACCCTGAGATCATGACCTGAGCCGAAGGCAGAGGTTTAACCCACTGAGCCACCCAGGCACCGCTGCTTTATGTTTGTTGAACGAATGAGGGCCTTGAAGTGTAACTGGGAAGATGGGATATACATACAAGGTAATTGACACTACCGATGCTAAATGCTGCAGAACGTGAGAGAAGGAAGAACCCCTTTTGAGTTAGAGAGAAGGCTCCTGGGTGAGTAGGGAGTGGGGAAGAACAATAATTAGGTAAATGGAGAGAAAAAGGAAAGGCAGAGTGTGTTCGGGGCAGTTTGACATAGCATTTTCTAGGCATGGCTAGTATTTATCATGAGTTGCTGAGGCAGGATGGTGCTGGCCCCGCCACCAAAGAGAAGACCTTAGGTTGCCCAGCAGGGGGCTAACAGTGGAGGGCTGTATGGTCAAAAGTGGCTTTCTGTGTTTAGAGCAGAAGCCACAAACTCACATGCTTAAAGAAGCCAAACAGGAAAAAGAATGATAGGGGGTGGGGTCAGAGGTACACTGGAGACGATTAATGTGTAAGAATCTAGGTCCCTTGGGGTGCCTGGGTGGCTCAGTGGGTTAAAGCCTCTGCCTTCTGCTCAGGTCATGATCCCAGGCTCCTGGGATGGAGCCCTACATCCTGCTCTCTGTTCAGCAGGGAGCTTGCTTCCCCCCTCTCTCTCTGCCTGCCTCTCTGCCTACTTGTGATCTTTGTCAAATGAATAAATAAAATCTTAAAAAAAAAAAAAGAATCTAGGTACAATGATGGTATCAGATCTGATTTATTCAAATGAAGCCTTGAAGTCCTAATTTTTTTTACATGAAGTGTTCTGATTTTTAAAGATGGTGATGAAATACACCAAAAATGAACCCTCTTACCCATTTTTAAGTGTGCAGTTCATCGGCCTTATGCACATTGGAGTTCTTGTGTAGCTAGTCTCCAGAATCCCATCTTGCAAAAGTGAAACTCTGTACCCACTAAACGCTTAACTCCCATTCTTCCGTCTCCCCGTCCTTGGCAACCACCATTCTACTTTCTGTCTTGATGGTTTTGACACGCTCACCAGTATCTTGCATAAGTGGAATCACACAATTTTTATCCTTTGGCTTATTTCACTTTGCATAATGTCCTCTAGCTTCATCTGTGTTGTAGCAGGTGTCAGAATTTCCTCTTTTAGGCTGAATAATTCCCCACTTGATCCATCTATTTTGCTTCTGCATTCACCTGCTGATGGACACTTGGGTTGCTTCCACCTTTCAGCTCTTGTGAACAAGGCTGCTACAGACATGGGTATGCAAATATCTCTCCAAGTCCCCACTTTTCAGTTCTTTGGGGCATATCACCAGAAATGGAACAGAAGAGATAGATGAGGCCAAGGGTGAACCCAGGATGACTTTTCTTAAGTGCTTCCTCAAAGCAGCCCATCAGAAAAGGCCAGGTTAGATAGGCTTGGGATGAGATGCGTGTTCAAGAAAACAGGTGCTTGGGCTGTCTGGGTGGCTCAGTGGGTTAAAAGCCTCTGCCTTCGGCTCAGGTCATGGTCCCAGGGTCCTGGAATCGAGCCCCGCATCGGGCTCTCTGCTCAGTAGGGAGCCTGCTTCCTCCTCTCTCTCTGCCTGCCTCTCTGCCTACTTGTGATAAAATCTTTAAAAAAAAAAAAAAGAAAAGAAAAGAAAGGAAAACAGGTGCTTGAGGCCAGAAGAAAGGCAGCCAGAGGAATGCTGTGAACAGACGGCTTCCTGCCCCGCTGGTGAGACAGGTGGCCACCAGAAGGGGCAGTTTTTAAGTTGAAGTCAAAACCCAGAGCTCAGACAGGAAGAGATTTTTGTTTTGTTTTCCCCTTGGAATCTAGGACATGGGAATAGAGAAATTTAAGAAGTAGCCTAAGGGTGTCCTAGAGGAAAGCCTCCTGACCAAAAGGGGAATGACATCTGCTTTAAATTGTGCCAGGCTGAGGCTGCTTTGGGTTTATACCACTCTCTAGTATAATGTGACTTTAAGTGACATTTCCTCACGCATGGTAGAGATTGGCCTGAGCATCTGAACTTTGTGACCAGCAAGAGGCTAGATGGGAGCAGAAGAAGGGTATGGTAGTCTGGAGACCTCTCTGTTTTTCCCCCCAGATACTAACAGAAAGTTGATTTGAGAACAGGGACTGAAGGAGCAGCAGTGCCTCATTTTGCTACTTCTTTTTTTCCTTTTAATTTTTTTTTTTTTTTTAAAGATTTTATTTATTTATTTGACAGACAGAGATCACAAGTAGGCAGAGAGGCAGGCAGAGAGAGAGGAGGAAGCAGGCTCCCCGCGGAGCAGAGAGCCCGATGCGGGGCTCGATCCCAGGACCCCAGGATCATGACCTGAGCCAAAGGCAGCAGCTCAACCCACTGAGCCACCCAGGCGCCCCTCCTTTTAATTTTTAAATTTTTAAAAATTTTTTAAGTAGGCTCCGTGCCCAACGTGGGGCCTGAACTCACGACTCCAAAATCAAGAGTCATGTGCTCCACTGACTGAGCCAGCCAGGTGCCCCTCATTTTGTTACTTCTTTAGTCCTCTGACCTTGGCTCTGATCTTTACATCTTTCAGGCCCTTGGCAAGGAAACACATGTGACATTTTCAAAATGAAGATTACTTGGTTTTGCTCTTCTTGTAAAATGATCGATGCTTCTCAGAATTTCAAATAATACAGAGAAAAGCATGAAGAATAAAAATTACTTGAAATCTCCATTTGGGACCTCTTTCTCTGTGTGTATACACTATTACACACACCCAAACCTCTACTTAGATTTTTGCGTAAATATTCTACCCTAGAATCTATTGTATTTTACTTATTATCTCAGATATTCTAGTTTAAGACCATGTACCAGACGACCAGACGACCAGTTGCATCACTAACAACATCCTATAATTCCCTTTTGTGTTTTGTAATCCCTTTGGTATCAGGCTAATGCAGACCTCATAAAAAAGTTAGGAGTATTCCTTCCTACCTCTTGTATTTTCTGGAATTCTTTGTGTAAATTGATACTATCTCTTCCTTAAAATTTTTGTAGTGTTTTTAGGACTGGAGTTTTCCTTGTTGGGGAGTTAACTATGTGTTCAATATCTTTCATAGCTATGGAGCATTTTAGGTCCTGTGTTTCTTGTGAATGAGCTTGGTAGTTTGTCTTTCAAGAAATTTGTCCATTTTACCTAAGTTGTTGAATTTAGTCACATGAATTTGTTCTTGTTATTTCCTTACTATCCTGTTAATGTCTACAGGATCTTTAGTGATACCTACACATTCTCAGTATGGGTTATTTGTGTCCTTTTTTCAGCCCCAAAGTTTCCTCATACCCCTTTGCAATCCACCCCTCCCTACCTTTGAAAATTGTTAATCTGCTTTCTAACCCTATTGGTTAATTTGCATTTTCTAGACTTTTCTGTAAATGACATAGTACAATATAGACCTCTTTTTCCCCCTGGCTTTCACTCAGTATAATTGTTTGAGATTCATCTACATGTTTACATGTATCAGTTGGGTTTTCTTTTTCTTTCTCGGTAGTGTTCCATTATAACAATGTACCGCAGTTTATCCATTCACCTTCAGAAGGATATTTGGATTTTTTTTCAAATAAAAATAAAGCTGTTATGAACATTTATGTACAAGCTTTGTGTGGATATATGTTTTCATTTTTCTTGAGTAGCTACCTAGTTGGGGAATGACTGTGTTGTAGGGTAGGTATCTTTTAAGGATTTTTTTAAATGAGAAGAAAAACTTTAATATTTACATATTTGCCATTTCCAGTGATTTTCATTCTTTTGTGTGATCTAGATTTCCTTTTGGTAATATTTTCCTTCTGCCTGGAGAATTTTCTTCAACATTTCTTATAATGTGGGTTGGTTGGTGATACCGTTTTTTTCCTTTGTTTGACGTTTTTAGGGGAAAAGATATCTTTGCTAGTATAGAATTCTAGGTTCACAGACTTTTTTTTTCAAGATCTTATTTATTTATTTGACAGAGAGAGATCACAAGTAGGCAGAGAGGCAGGCAGAGAGAGAGGGGGAAACAGGCTTACTGCTGAGCAGAGAGTCAGATGTGGGGCTCCATCCCAGGACCCTGGGACCATGACCTGAGCAGAAGGCAGAGGCTTTAACCCACTGAGCCACCCAGGCGCCCTGGTTCACAGGCTTTTGTTTTT